TTAATTTCAAATTCTTTGGCTAAGAATTCTTGAGCTTCTGAATCTCGTTAATATGATCTCCTGTAAGAATGATATCATCTACATATACAATCAAGATAGCTTTCTTACCTGAGATACAATGCTTGACAAATAGTGTATGATCAAACTGACATTGCTCATATCCTTCCCGTTTTACTGCTCTTGTGAATCTATCAAACCATATAATTGGAGATTGCTTTAGACCATATAGTGACTTTTTTAGCTTGTATACTTTTTTAGGACTGTTTGCTAGTTCAAATCCTGGTGGTGTGTCGATATACACTTATTCCTCTATATCACCATTAAGAAATGCATTCTTCACATCTAGCTGACAGAGTGGTCAATCAAGATTAGAGGCGAGTGAGAGAAGTACCCGAATTGTATTGTGTTTGGTTATCGGAACAAATATCTCTTGATAGTCTATCCCATATGACTGAGTGTAGCCTTTGGCTACTAGTCGAGCCTTATACCGATTCACACTTCCATCTGGATTGTATTTAGTTGTGAAAATCCACTTGCACTCCACTTGGTGTTTCCCTAGAGGTAGATCAATTAATTCTCATGTTCCGTTTTTTTGAAGTGCCTTGATTTCCTCTTGAACAACCATCATCCATTCAGGTATTTTTGCTTCATGGATTGTTTTAGGCTCTGGTGAGCTGTTGTCAAACCTACACACAAAAGCATGTTGTTCCGAAGATAACTTGTTTAATTAAATATAATTCTGTATAGGATGTTTGGTGCATGTTCGAGTCCATTTTCTCAAAGCAATAGGTATGTCAATGTTAGTATCTGTAATAGGAATAGAAGTCTCATTACTTGTTAATTTATGGGCACCAGGATCAGGGTGGATTCATGGCAAGGCTTGGATGATTCAAGTGCCTTCCGTTTGTTTTTTCTAGTATAGACATGTAACTCACAAGTTGCAGGTACTGTGTTCTCTATAACTGGCTTTGGTTCAAGTTCTTTATGTTTATGTGAGGTTATAGATTCAGGCTCCAGAGAGGGTTTATCTGGTGGAGGGTGACTCTGTGAATATAGAGAAGGTATACTTATATCCCACAACTGATATTTTTAAGTAAATATCTCTCATTGAATATCAGTTGTGGGATAAAATGATTGGTTTCAAACAATGTGACATCCATTGTGTTATAAAATCGATGAATTTCTAGAACTAGACATTTGTATCCTTTCTGACTAGCAGAATACCCAACAAAGATGCATTTAAGACCCCTTGAGTCAAGTTTCCTACGAAGATGAGTGTGAATATGAACATATACTGAACAACCAAAAATTTTGAGTGCTAATGTGTTTAAGATATGAGATTCATGAAAGGTTTGTGAAAGAATGGTGTAAGGTGATTAGCACGTTAGGACATGGGAGGATATCCAGTTTATCAAGTAAGTAGCAGTGAGAACAGCCTCTCCCCAAAAAAATTTTGGTACATGAGTGGTGAACATGATTGATTTAGCTACCTCAAGAATGTGTTTATTTTTCCTATTGGTTATGTCGTTTTGTTGTGGGGTATGTACACGAGTTTTGGTGAATAATACCATGTTCAGTAAAATATTTCTCAATGGTGGCTTCAAAGTATTCACACATATTGTGGGATTTCAATACTTAGATGGTAGCATGGAATTGTGTTTGAATCATTGTATGAAATTTTTTAAAGAGATGTCCAACTTCAAAATTTTCTTTCATAAGAAACACTCAGTTAATTCTTGTATGATCATCAATAAATGGTACAAACCACTTAGTTCCAGTGATGTTGGTGACCGTGGAAGGTACTCATACATCGCTATGAATTAATGCAAATGGTTTTGAGGGTTTGTATGGCAGACTAGGAAATGAACTTCGAACATGCTTAGAAAATTGATATAATTCACACTGAAATGAAATGTGATCTTTTTTTTTTTTGAATAGTAAAAGGAACAACTTTTTCAGATACACGAAATTTCGATGTTCTAGTCTATAGTGCCACAACATAATATCGTGGTCATTATTTGCAGAAACAGAAATAGAGTTTGCACATATTGTATTGTGAGTTCGTCTTCTAGAAGCATTGATTTGAAACAGGTATAGTCTTGAGCTCATCTTAGCATTGTCAATCATCCTCTCTGAGTCCAAGTCCTGAAATTCACACATGTTAGAGGCAAACTTGGCAGCAAAATTTAATTCTTCACATAGCTTGCTTACTGATAACAAATTACAATCCAGA